AAATATACAAATACAAAACAGTGGCATAAAAAAGTCAATTTAAAATCTATTAAAAGCCAGTGAGAACAAGTGTATACTCTAATGCAAGTGAAATACTGTATACTCCAGTCAAATAAATACGTATTACAACTCAAATTTTCCACTTACAATTTAACCAGATTGATAAAGACACATGTGAACTCCATTCCAGCGCTGAGCTGCATGTGAACACGTAGGATTGGAATGAGACATCTGGTAGTATTGCATTTGAGAGCACAGGGAAAAGCCAAGCCTGTATTACAAATGTATGTGTTTGAAAAGATACAGCCGACTCACTCATTTTGCTCAGGATCAATACACAGTCCCTCGCTGCATGCGTCTGGTTGTTTTGTTTAGTTACGTGAAGCAAAAGCAAAACGTATTAAGAATCATGGTGCTTTTAAGGAATAAAAGGAAATGTAATGATTAATGCTGCGGCAGCTGAGGATGCGTGAAAATCAAATGGCCAAAGTAAACAGAAAGTTGTGATGGAATTGCAGAGTATGTGCTTACATTATATGTATGGTAGAAGTTTTATATTCATTTATAGTTGCAGAGGAGCCTAGAGCAGCTCGTCTTCGGTGCACAGAGACCAGACAAAAACGAATCTTAGTATTTTTTTTCTACACAAACTGAATTGGCGAAAATAGTCGATCATGAGCAAAAATGCCATTGGTTTTGTTTCTCTATGTTTCTTTCAGATAAATAGATACCCTTTATTGTCCCCTGAGGGATATTCATTTCCACAGACACTGTCACATACATGGAATGGGGAGGAAGGAAGTTACAATTCACACAAAAAACACAAGTAATACAGGAGCAAGGGCAACCTTAGACTGTAAAAGCAGCTTAAGGGACAACACTTTTGTTGAATCTTGCCCACTTCCACCTTAACATTCTGTATCTGCGTCCTGAGGGCAGCAGAGTGATGTGGCAGTGGAGAGGGTGCTCTGAGTCTGTGCTAACTGTCCGGGCCACAATCAAAAAGTGACCAAACAAGGAATGAGGACAATAACTAAAACAGACGTGGAATGACAAGGACGGAACAGGGAGTGAAGGAACACACAGGGCTTAAATCATAGACTGCAAATATTAACGGAAGAAGTCAGGCCTATATTTGGATCATCCTGTAATTCTTTTTCTGGGTCCACCCGCACCGGCCCGGGGTGGTATTGCAAGCATTTCAGCGCACGTCATTTTGGACATTTTTGAGCCGCTCCTGCCCCCACTGGCTTAAATACACATGACTAACGAGACACAGGTGAGACAAACAATGGCGGGGCGGGTAATCGGGAAACAGGAAGTTGAACTAAGGAAGACACAGAGGTTATAAGTTACAAAATAAAACTGGATATTAGCCTGAACCAAGACATTTTCATTGTTTCTGTTCACATACATCCATAAATAAATAAATAGATTATAATTCATATCAAGAAAATATATTTTTTTTTTTATTTCAATCGTTTTGTAGAAAATAGTATGTTCACCTCTCCTCGGTACTGTACCTAAGTAAGTAAGTAAGCTTTATTTATATACCGCCTTTCACAGACCAGAGTCACAAAGCGGTTTACAATAGTTATTTTTTTGGGCACTTGTCCTCTCACTCCACACAGAGATGGGAGCGGGGTCCACCTCTGCTTGTTGACAATAATTCACACATTTCCATGAGATGTATCTTTTTTTTCCAAAAAGCTAAAAAATCTTACATTCTCATGAGTGGAACGGGATGTTTAGAAGAAAGATCCATCCATCCATTTTCTACCCTTTAATCCAGAAATGGATTAAAGGGTAGAAATGGATGGATGGAACAGAAGAAAGATCTGTTCTTAATAATCCCATAAATAATGTACATACATTTTTAGAGTGCAAAAAACTCACTGAATCTGTTAAAATGTTTCCTGCTCATCTTGTTCTGGATGTAGACCTCAGTGAAAGAATCTCAGACACGTAATCATTTCAGGTAAAAAAAAAAAGTATTTATGCAGAGTTGAAGAGCAGGTGTTGAGCCATGACAAGACATAATGGAAGAAAATGGAAAATATATTGCTGTTTTATTTCTGCCAGCATTCTGAGACACATGCCACTCAGCTGGCCACAAATTGGTTGAAATTGCCAGACTTTGTGTTATTTTGCTTTCAGAAGGCGACTGTGTTCAACTTTTCCTCACTTTATCTTTAGCAGTTCCTCTTCAACTCATGTTTTGACTAATTATTTGTCTTCATATTAACGTGCATAAAAAACAGGGACAAATACAGGATCAGTATCACCCATCATCTGTTCTTCTCAGCAGGTTTTACCGACGTTTCGTCCTCAATCCAAAGGACTTCTTCAGGGAATGAAATCTCATACCGCGCGTTGGAGATTTATAACCTATGGGTGTGGTTAGCCACACCCTAATCCTGATACTAACTCATAAACAATCTAAGGTCTGCTTGATGTAGAAGGGAGCAGGTCTAACGACCCTGCTGAGGCTAACGACCCTAACTCCTTAGCCTGTCACAGACCTATTGTCTGCTGGGATGCTCAAGTGGAGTGCAGGTTTCACCCCTCCTAACTCATTAGCATGTCACTGACCTTGTCCCAAGTTAGGGCGTTGTTTTTAGGATGTCGTCATAGATGCGAGGCAAAACAAATCTTAACCCTCCTCCTCTGTTAAGAGAAGGTTTTTGTTTCCTCACAAAAATGGCTTCTTTCACCCCTCTCTCAAACCAATTCTTCTCCCGAGCCAGAATTTTAACCTCTGTGTCATCCACCGTGTGGTTGGAGGCCTTGAGGTGGAGATGAACAGCCGACTGTGGCCCACTAGAGTTTTCTCTACGATGTTGGTAAAGTCGTTTATGTAGAGTTTGTTTGGTTTCTCCAATATAGTGGTCAGTGCACTCCTCTTCACTACATTTAATTGAATACACCACATTGCTCTGTTTGTGTCTGGGTGTTTTGTCTTTGGGATGCACTAATTTCAGTCTTAACGTGTTGAAAGGTTTGAAATACACAGGGATTTTGTGTTGCCTAAATGTAATGTAATGTAATGTATTCCAATGTGTTTTTTTTTACTGCAAATGGCAAATAAACTGAATCTGAATCTGAATCTTCTTTGTAGTTTCTCTGAAACTCCCGCCACATACGGTAAGGACACCCCTCTCCTCCTATTTTCTTCTGTCTGTTGGACTGTGTCTCGGGCCTTTCTCGTCCTTTGGGCTTTATTAAAAGACCACTTGGGGAAGCCACATCTGGAAAGTGCTCTCTGAACATGTTTGGTTTCTCTGTTCTTTCCCTCCGAGCTTGTGGGGACCTGGTGGGCTCGGTGTTAAAGCGTTCTAATGACCCCGAGTTTGTGTTGTAGCGGATGATTTGAGTCAAAGGTCAGGTACTGGTCAGTGTGAGTGGACTTTCTGAAGACCTCAGTCTCTAATTGTCCGTTCTCCAGTATGATGACCTTACAATCTAGAAAGGCAAGTTCACTCTCCTTAGCATCCTCACGAGTGAAATTTATAAAAGGGTCCACCGAATTAATGTGTTCTGAAAATGGTTCCACTTCCTGTTTCTTTAACTTAACCCATGTGTCGTCTACATATCGAAACCAATGGCTTGGCGCTGTCCCTTGGTAAGAGACAAGGGCTTGTTCCTCCAGTTTCTCCATATACAGATTGGCCACTATAGGAGAGACTGGGGAGCCCATCGCACAGCCATGAATCTGTCTAAAGAAGGTGCCTCTAAATTGGAAATACGTGGTGTTAAGACACATTTCAAGTATTTCACAGATGTGGTCAGCTGTTAGTTTCGTTCTCTCCCCTAGTGTGGCGTCTTTCTGTAGGCTTTCTCTTACAGCCTCCACCGCCTCTGTAATAGGGACCGACGTAAAAAGAGACCATTGTCTCATCTGTGTCAAACTGGAGGTGTTTGATTTTATTTACAAATTCTTTTGTGTTTTCTATGTGATGGTGGGTGTTGCCAACCAAAGGAGCCAGAATGGTTTTGAGGTGTTTAGCCAGGTTGTAGGTGATAGAGTCTATGCTACATACAATAGGCCGAAGTGGAAAGTTTTGTTTGTGTATTTTTGGGAGTCCATAAATACTGGGAATGGTGTCTCCTGGGTAAAGTTTGTAATATAGTGGTTTTTCAACAATGCCCTCTTTCAATAAGCTCTGAAGGAAGTCTATAATCTTTTTCCTAAACCCACTGGTAGGGTCCCTCTTCAATGGCTGGTACGTGTTGGTGTCCAAGAGTAACTGATTAACTTTGGCCTCATAGTCTGAGCTGTTGAGGATAACTGTGCATCTGCCTTTGTCAGCTGGTAAAATAGTTATACTCTCATCCTTTTGTAATGCCAATAATGCTTTTTGCTCATCTAATGAGACATTGGATTGTGGGGGCTTCGCACTTTTGAGTGTGGCAGAGACTCTCAGTCTGAGGGCCCCCGCCTCACTCTCAGTTAGTTTGTTGTTTCTAATGGCTGCTTCTGCTGCTGTGATGTATTCAATAAGCGAAATCGTAATCTCAGTTCGCGCAATGAATTGTGGGATCGTTCAGAGGTCAATCGGGATAAATTTGACCCGGAAGTGTGTTTTGACCGCGCTGAAGACGAGAGGACGCAGACAACTGTAGTTTGAATGATGTGTTATTTATTTGTATGACAGAAAAACGTACTAAACTGAGTGAGATGGCTCAGATGGAGGATACAGAGATGAGTCTAGATGTTTTTAGACGATGGACAGTTGCTAATTTGAAGGTATTTTTGAAGAAACGCGGGCTATCGCTGAGCGGCAAAAAAGAGGAGTTGGTGGCAAGAGCGTTCGCCGCTCAAGAATTGAACACTCCAGTCTTGCCAGACGCAGAACAGGTGTATGAGCAAAACAAAGAGGACTACAATTCAATTTTGCAGACACACGACGGCGAAACTCTTCCAGATCCCTTGAAAATTCCTTCAGTGAAATGGGTTGGCGAGATCGATGGAGTTTACTGCTGGCCGCCAACGATGTACTATGACATTGGTGAATATATATTGCAACATGTCCGCGACAGGGACTTGGGGAGACGACTTATGTCGGATTATAAAGAAGGAAAAGCTTTCAGCTACTACAAATCTGGATGGGTTAGGGAAATGTTTTACTTCAGAGTGCCAAGTTCAAAGTACTGTTTCTTGAAGGCGGAGTGTGTTCCATCGGAGAAGATTCGACAAATTCCACATCAAGTTTATGTGATCATTGAACAGGACACAGGACGCATAGAAGGTGCCTACTGCACATGTTTTGCAGGGTATGTTTATTCTTTGTGTTGTATTTCATTAATATTTATGTGAAACTGAAATTACGTAAATTGATGTCCTGCCTATGTTTTCAACAACTTTCAATATCTGCATCCGTGTATTGACAGGGGAGGGAAATACTGGGGATGATATTAATTTGTTTATGTTTTGTAGATTGGGACAAACCTGCAATCATGTTGCCGCACTTTTGTTTAAAGTGGATGATGCATGGAAGAGAGGCATAACCAATCAAGCCTGCACTTCATTGCCATGCATTTGGAACAAATATGGGTCAACTAAAGATATAGCTCAACCAAAGAGAATACAAGAGATGAAATGGAAAAAACATCATTACAAAAACACAGGTAATTCATTTCTTATGGTAAGAATGTCACAAACAAAAAGGGGCTGTCTGCATATATTTTGAACTTGCTTGGTTCACCACATTTTAAAATTTTTAGTTAGTAGCTAAGTAACATGTAGGCTTTCATCTTTCATATACATGTATAGTGATTATGATTTTTTTTTTTTCTGAAAAAATATTTTACATGCTTCATATACATGCACAACAAACACTATGGATGGTGTATTTAATTTTAAAGTTATGATTGGCCTGTGAAAATATGTTTTAAAGCCTATCCCCACCTTGATGAAACTGGTCTATTACAAAGATAGCTTCCCCTTAAAAACAAAAGTCAATCAATAGTTGATGAAGAAAAAATAAACTGTAAAATATATTGTTTGCTTTGTATTTCCAATTTGCATAATTCAGGATGGGTAGAACTAAATTAATTATGAAAAATATGATAATAATGACATGTATTCATAGCATTGATGATGTACAGTTTACCCTAATTTAAATCTTATGCATTCTTTGTTCCAGATGATGAAAAAGTGGAGAATCCCACAGTAAGGCAGCTCTTCACTCCACATGCCAGGAAAGCTGCAGGGGCCACTCTGCAGAAACTTCGAGATGCACTGGCAGGTGCATGTCCCCAAGCAGTACTCTTCACAAGCATGGAAACATCAAACATGTCCGTGACAGAGGGCCCACGTCGTGATCTTAATGATAAAATTACTCCATCTGAAGGAGTGAACACTGAAGTCCCCTCGTCACTACAGCAGCTGGCCCGTCAGCATTCAGATGTCCCATCATTTCTTGCAGCTTTGCCATGCTATACTGACAGTAAAATTAAAGAACTGGAGAAGGCTACACAAGGACAAGCATTAAATGAAAATTGGATGAATTTAAGGAAAGGTCGATTGACGGGATCTATAATTCACAATGTACATACCAAAGTGCAAACTCTTAAATCCAATACCACAAAGAAGTCTAAGAATGTTGCATCCTTGCTTGTAAGAGTAATGGGTTATAAATCAGTTGGTGACCTTCCCTCACTGCAACATGGCAGGGACATGGAGGGAGAAGCCAGAAGGGCATATACTGCCCTTTTGAAAAAGGAAAAACACAAAACTGTACAGGTTAAAGATTGTGGGTTATTTGTGGTGAAGGACACTATATATATTGGCGCTAGTCCAGATGCGCTTGTGAGTTGCACATGTTGTGGCGAAGGACTTGTTGAAATAAAGTGTCCAAGCAGTATAAAGAAGCCAAGCCTAGTTACCAGTTTACCCTATATGCAAAAGACTGACAGTGGTGACTTCAGACTTAAGGACACTTGTAATTATTTCACTCAGGTTCAGTCACAGATGGCTGCAACCAGCAGGTTATGGTGTGACTTCTTTGTGTACACGCGACATAGTGTCCATCTGGAGAGAATTGCCTTTGATGAAAAAAAGTGGAATGATGTGCTTGAGAATGCAAAATTCTTCTTCGAGACATATGTTGCACCAGAACTTGTGCATAGAGACCTTCAAAATGCTACTGCTCTGGAATATGATTCTGACTGGACAGATTAAGTGCTACTGTAATGGATACCAGAAACATACCTTTAAAGACTGACCAGATTGCCACAAAAAATGAACTGAATAAATGTCTTAATTTGTTTTATTGGGATTTTTTTTTTTCAACCTTCAATGAAAAAGAAAAACTAAAAACGTATGTAGTTAAATACATTTCACCGTGTCCATGTACACCAAATTGAGTACATAGCCTGCATCCTGTAAAGTTCATGTTACTGTAAATAAAATGATTTCAATGCACTTCTGTAAGTTTATGTAACCAGTGGCCTGTGTAAATTAGATAATGCTGCACACACACTGACTATATCATCAGCAAGTGGCACTATCTTTATTGGAAGAGTTCCACTGAGTATTTTGAACCATTTAATGCGATTAATGGCCCGCTCAACATGAATTCTCAGATTTGCAACTTGTTTAGTTTTTCGCACATTTTCTATTGTCATTTGTTCACTTCCTCTGGCTCCAGGTGGTATTACTAATTTGGCTTGTCGCATAAGCAGAGCCTCTTGGATTGGAAACCCTCGGTCTGCCATTATCTCATCTGTAGGGTCTATTAAATCCAGAAAGCCAGAGTTTTTTGTGATGTGCACATCGGAGGCTCGACCGCCCCATGTCTTGGATAGAAAGGTCACAAGTCCATTTGGAGCAATACCAACAAGAAATTTTATTGTATTGTGTTTTTTGTAATCAGACCAGGTCAATGCTTGTAGTTCCAGGTTTCGTGGGCGCTGTATGAATACCTCAGTGCAATCCAGGATACACCTAACTTTGGGCATTTGCAACTGGAAAGACATGGGCAGAGAATTTCTAACTTCCTCTTTAGATGGCCAGTATACCATACACTTCAGTTCTGATGACAATAATTTCAGCCATGTGTTTATGATGCAAGAACACATAGATGATGAAATCCCAAACAGATCAGCTAGTAAGTCATTTCCAAGTGCGAGTCTCAACTTGAGGAGCACAATGACAAGTTCATCTTTTGTAGTCAGTTTCTTTTTTGGTCCACTTTTTAGAGGAGTGCCTTTGAACATACGCTTTGATGAGACCACTTTAGATGATCCTTGCCAGTACTTCATTTTGCGTGCCATGGGTTTGAAGTATTTGACAAGACAGTCCAATGTGTTTTTGTTTGGTAGGCCCAAATAACGACGGACTTGTTTGTCTGTTTTTAGTACATTTTTCAAGTTGAAGTTCACACTTTTTTTTTGTGATTGAGGCTTTTCTGTGTCCATAGCTTCTAGTTGACTTTCAAGCTCACATATGCGCTGTTTAAGTTTATTTATAGTCAGTTGTTTTTCCATGCACCCATAACAAGCACATTTATCCTGGCAGTTGCATTGATAAATGTAACTATGATCATCATGTACTATGGTAACTGGTGACACACGTTCTTCTTCTTCTTGTTCTGTGGCCGTAGTCATGTCTGTTGCATCAGGGTGTGGGTCAGTTTGTCGTGTTTTTGCCTTTTGAGTTGGTAGTTCATGTCTTTTAGGAAGGGAGCGTCCCTTAGTCTCCTTACGGAGGAGATAGCCCAAGTTGAGGGTTGGCACTGGATGTTTGACAGTTGGTTTACTATCGATAAAATGCACAGAACAAATACGGCTGTCAGCCTTTGGTTGCCAGTTCTTTCCGGTGACTTCATCTTTTCGGTTGACAGACTTGATCCACTGTTGCCGAGTTTTGGGGTCTTTTTGTTCGGTGGGGAATGGGAACAACTCAAATGGAGGGTCGCATGTGCAACGTGCAGTTCCATAGTTGCATTCATGCACAGTGCAGTGCCTCTCTCTCCATTTGTTCAGGTGGTATGTGCTGTTCCCACAGTTCAGAACAGCACAAATTCTCATCTTGTGTGATCTCTCCTGGACAAAAATATTTGTATTGATATTGTGCATTGAATATGTCAAAACAAAGTCAATTTGAAAACAATTACATGACAAATCAAATAAATATAAAGCAGACAGAAACCTTCATATATATGCACTGTAATGCCTCCTCCCCCATAAAATGCTGAGCAAAAACATGTATTTTTTTTTATTTTATTGTATTAGTTTATTTGAACAGGGACAATGCACATTGATCAACATCACTTGAAATGTGACAGTTTTAGCTCTTAAGCTAGTTTTCAACCATAGTCCCTTGGGCAAGATGTAGATTGCCAGCAGCAAACATAGGCCAAATCATGTAGTATAAAAGAGATGAGCCTTTCTACTTTTCCATATTACAATTTAGGCTATATATAGTGTGTAATTTTGTGGAAATAATTATACCAACCACCCGAAAAATAATCGACATTTAATTTAGCTTGTGCCACCTGCAATTGGAAATTAAAACTAATATATTTGTCAAAAATGTTGTTGAATTGTATGTGGAAGTACAGATACTCACCTTCGATATGTTTATGATGATTTGTTAGTTTTGATGTCTGTGAAACAAGCATTTTTGATGCACATTGTACATTTGTTATTACTGGGAGATAGCGCTTTTATCCCGATTGACCTTTGACCGGAAGCGCCGCGCATGCGCAGTACGAGATTACGACTTCGCTTATTGTAGGAATATCTTTTGGGGTTATTGCAAAATTTAGGCCTTTAGTAAGAACATCTTTTTCCGCATGTGATAAATGCCGATCGGACAGACTTTTGACCCAATTCTCCCTGTCCAAGCCTTGTCCAATTTCACTTTTAGAATGTTGAAAAGAATTATGGTTTTTGAGTTTTAGAAATGTGCCTATCTGACGCTCTTTGGCCTTCTTGTGATGGTTCAGTTGGGCAGTTTCCGTAAACGTCCAAATCCTCTTTGTGCTTAAGGCCCTCTATCTCATCCTTTAGGTTTATAATCTCTATGTTAAGTCGTCGAATTCTTAAATTGAGAATCTTCATACAGTAGTTTTGTTGTATTTTTCTTGCCAACTGGCCTGTTTCTAATGCTTTTTGCTTTAAACATTTTGGGATAAGTTTACTCCAGCTACACCTAAGATTAAACCTAAGATGATTTCCGGCGTCTGCTAATTTTCTTTTGATTTTCTCCAACCGCGTGCCAAGACCAGGGCGTCTCTCCCAAAGTCGGCAACGATAAGTTTGTGTAAGCCCTCAGTCGTACAGGAATTAGTCAAAGCAAAGGAAGGTTTCTCAACCATCCTCTGTACTTCTTAGCAGGTTTTCCCGACGTTTCATCCACTCGTGAACAGTAGTACTGTTCATGTTAGCATCATGTGATACTACTGTACATGTTAGCATCATGTGATACTACTGTACATGTTAGCATCATGTGATACTACTGTACATGTTAGCATCGTGTGACACTACTGTACATGTTAGCATCGTGTGACACTACTATATATGTTAGCAGCATGTGATACTACTGTACATGTATCACTCTCCCAGGACCCCCCTGAAAGAGATTCTGCAATCTAAGTGGGGCTTTCCTGATTTAATTAAAGTAAATAAAAATACCACAGATGAACTTGAACTTGAATACAATATACCCTTAATTATTAACAAAGTATACCATGACCTTGCAGTGTATCTTGCTTGGTTTTTCACACACTGCGAGTAGACTGAGAAAGAATGTACTGTATATGTAATAAGTGTTTAGGCCTGGAGCAGCCGATATACACTAGCATCATTATTATTATTAGGATTAATTTTCATCTCGTTCTCTTCTATAATATGCCTTGAAAAGCAGACAGCCTGTCATTATGTGTAAGGGTGCCGTTCTCTTTGTCTAAATGACTGAGGCTAAACACACATACAGTATGTTTGATATCATTACCATAATTGCACCCTATAATCCTTAAAGAAGACATTTTGCTTCATCCAAAATTCTATATAAACTGTGACACCTTCATGTTTTATAATTGTGTATGTTTATAAATGTCACTTATAGATATGTCCTTTGACTTCTTTGATGTTGCCTGCTGAATAACAGAGCAAATCAAAAATGAAATACAGCAGTGGGTGGAGATAAGGGGGATAAGGGGGATAAGGGGATAACAAATATTTTGTGTGTCTCAAATGCAGGACAAGGATGAATCAATGACACTACAACGTTAGGATCTATGGTAACAAAGTGTTTTGTGTAAATGAGCATTGTAAATATGGTCAACATAACTACAGGAACTCAAAGAATCACCAAACTGAATATCAACATGTGGAGACGGGCCCCTGCTGACCTCTGCTCCTGACAGGTTGTCTCAGTGACATTGAAAGGAAGTGTCAAATGCTTTTTCTGAGTTCTGCATAAAATCCTGTGCTGTGAAAGCTCTGGTGGTTGTCAGTGTCCTCTGCCACCAACAAACATTGACACAATCCCAAACTACCTCTGCAGCATTTGTCATTTTCTTCAAATTTAACCCACAATCTCTGCTAAAAGAAACAGCTTGCCGGTTATGTATTGTCAAGTCATACACAATAACAAATATTGATGCAAAAATCTATTGCATCATGGGTAGAATGTTCATTCATTCATTCATTCATTCATTCTCATCCCTTTATTGTCCATTTCTGGGTCAGGGGGGTGGCAGTCAGAGTTGCCACCCAATTCACATAGCACCAGTCCCTCGCTGATCCTCCTGCAGGTGGTGGGTCCACGGGAAGATGGCTGTTCCTTCATCACAGTTACGGCCTTGATCTTTCAGCGGGGACTTCAGGCAAAGTGGGGTTAAGTGTCTTGCCCAGGGACACAACGACAGCAGACATCAGTGGGAGCAGATGACATGGGTCGTGGTGGAATCGAACCCACGACCATTAGGTCCAGAGACCAACGCTCTACCAACTGAGCTACTGTCGCCCCTAGACAGTAGCTCAGGGTAGAGTGGGTAGAATGTATATATATATATATCCTACTCAACGGTCAACAGCGTTACTGAAGGCAATCTAAATATCAGACAGATGAGTAAGAATGATTAAATTCATGCACAAGACTTCAAAGCTGCTGAAGTAGAATTCCCACTGCGACTGCAAATCCAGACTATTCTTTTACGGCGAATGTACGTCCTATTTCACTCTAATGTAATTAACTTGTGGATTAATACTGTCCAAGAACTACCCTTCCCTCAACAGCAGAAACACGCTCAGCTTCTGGTTTCACATCCGCTGCTCTGTTCTCTGCTCAAGAGCTGTGATAAAACCATCAAAGCTAATGCACCATTCAAGGAAGATCATAAACTTGGAGACAGAGCCTATAAAAACAGGCAGTTGACAACATTAGCAGGAAAACAGAAACTGAACTAAAAGAAGCGTTTACAAAAATGTTGTGTCTCTTACACACCTATGATTACAGATGTACAGATGAAGGCAGCTGCTGAAACATTTCTGTGATTAAGCTCAGTGTAACGTTTGTGTTTTGTTCCGTATAAGGCAGTAGACTTACCGACCGACATGCTGTCCTGCTCCGTGAACAGATTGTAGAGGTCATGTGTTTCCATGGAGGCCAGTCCCAATAAATATTATCACCCTTAAAGCTGAGGTACACTATCACAGACCATTCAGGACATCCTCTATGACCAAATCTACATTTATTTGTCTGGCATCAATAAAACAACATTTCCTGGCCATTTCTAATTTGAGTTAATTCTACTTATATCATGTTAAGTATTATAATTTGGTGCAATTTTGAGGAGCCCCTTTAGAATGAGATGTGTCTATGTAAATATATGGCCTGACAAACGCACATGTTGTCCCAGTGTCATGCGTATGATTCATGTTTAATTTTACAGTAATTGTTTTGTGCAATCTGTGCCTCAGTGAATCTGCTGCAATAGCCCTGGAGCTCAGAGCTGCCCACTTCAACATGTCCAGTGGGACAGAAACTCTGCTTCTGTGCGCCTTGCTAATGAGTCATTCACTTTGGACATAATATACTTGCACTAATACTATACTACTTATTGCCATTTGAGTTTGTATATTTATTTGGGCTTGATAATTGATCATAATTTTGATTTATATTAAGTAGGGTCTTACTCAATTACCCCTTGTTTGTATTAAGCCATATCTTGCCAGCGGTAATGTTACCTACAGTTTGATTGGTTGGTTGGTTAGTTAATTCATTCAATTTCAATTCTTACTTGATGCTTTACTTCACTGTACTGCTGTCACCTTACATTGTGTGCACCATGTGCACTTGTATATTGTAAATAGTAACTGTAACTCTATTTTAAATTTAAATTTATTCTTTAGAAGTGTTTTTTATTCTTATTGTTATTATCTCTTTCTGACTGTTGCACTGAGCCAAAGCAATTTCCAAGTCTGTGACCTCTTGTTACTTACGTGGCAATAAAAATGATTCTGATTCTAAATGTTCATCAAAGGTCATAGTTTAATGGTATATTTCCTTTAATCCGCACATCACAGTTTTCTTTGATTGTGTGTTTTGTGTTGTGCGTCTGCAGTCATGCCGGCAGAGGGAAAGGGGAAGTGGATACATCCGACTTCAGTGCGGCTCAAGATCATCCCTCACTTTGAAGTGTTGTCATCCGCCGCCTGCAGACGCTGTTGACACGGAGTCGGGAGCAAACAAAATCTGGGCCATTATGCCTTTAATGATGAAGGAGGAGGTACACTTGCCCCCGGAGACCCCCTCTCCTCTGTGTGGACGCTCACTGTCAGCACTCCTGCAGAGACTTCACAATAATGTGACAGTCTCCAGACCTTTATGTGCAGAATATGCAAATAGTTAAGTGGCTGTTAGTCAGAATGGACCCGCGCTACAGGCCCGGCTGACTGTTCAACTAAGCATTTCAATGTTTAGTCTTTAGCAAGGATATGATTTTTATATTAAGAGATGTGCTTTCAGATTACCTGTGCTCAGGTCTCTGCGCTGGCTGCCTGTGGCTCAGAGAATTGACCTTAGAGCAGCTCTGCTTGTGTACAAGTCTCTATGTAAACATCAGTGACATACTGTATTAGTGCCACATGAATCAACTTGGCCTCTGAAGAGCACAGTGCTAGTCACCTGCTGGTCCTCTAAGGAGCACAGGGACTGGCCTCCTGCTGGTCCTCTAAGGAGCATGGGGACTGGCCTCCTGCTGGTCCTCTAAGGAGCGCAGGGACTGGCCTCCTGCTGGGACTCTGAGGAGCACAGGGACTGGCCTCCTGCTGAGACTCTGAGGAGCGCAGGGACTGGCCTCCTGCTGGTCCTCTAAGGAGCGCAGGGACTGGCCTCCTGCTGGGACTCTGAGGAGCGCAGGGACTGGCCTCCTGCTGAGACTCTGAGGAGCGCAGGGACTGGCCTCCTGCTGGTGACTCTAAGGAGCACAGGGACTGGCCTCCTGCTGGTCCTCTAAGGAGCACAGGGACTGGCCTCCTGCTGGTCCTCTAAGGAGCACAGGGACTGGCCTCCTGCTGGTCCTCTAAGGAGCACAGGGACTGGCCTCCTGCTGGGACTCTGAGAAGAGTACCTTGTGTATGAACTGTGCTACAAAAATACACTACATAAACTCCCTGAGCTTAAAGCAGGTTATTAGTAAAATGATTAGTCAATTAAAAGTCTAGTATTAGGTTAATCCAGTCGTTTACGTTGTTTATTTGTTTAGGTCTAGTTGTTATGAGCAGGAAACCCACTGCTCATAACATTATATTTGGCTGATGACGCCTGCCCCTCTTCATTCTTTCTAACAAGTGCCTGACAGAGACATTGGAGTCATGTCCAGAAAAATAAAAGGATTTTATATAATCTACTACTGCAGTGTGCCTCAGATCCTCCTTTGACTTTGTGTCAATGTTGTCTTCGTCTGTGAGATTTTAGCCTCTGTGGAGCCTGCAGTACTCACTCCTCGCTCGTATAAAATAAATGGCCAATGGAGTGTGATACAGGAGCAACCCGGAAAATTAGATTCAGAAGTGTAATTAGTTCAACTTAAATTGTGAAACCATTATGTGATACAGACAAAGCATGTCCAAACTAAGGCCCGTGGGCCAATTGCGGCCCTCAGTATCACGTCCTGTGGCCCTCTGCCTTGCTAACACAAAGTACCATTGAGATCATGAGACTCTGGAATTTAGTTTTTTACATGATTTCTATATGTAACAAATCACTTTGATTGTGTCATACCAGTGCTAATGCTGCTGGTGACAGAGTAAAAAATTGTTATTCAGCACTGACGTCATATCTCATTTTAAAGCTCAGAACATGCTGAGAGAGAGAATACTTTAGGAGTTAGTGCGCGGACGAAGTGCTCCTCGTATTATTACGCCTCACAACCTAGTTCCCCTTTTTATCCCCTGAGAAAATCGACATGTGTTACTATACTAGGTAGTGTAACACGTCACGTAACTGTATTTAAATAGGGAAAACGTGGAAGAGTTTGGTAGCTTCTAACGGGAGCTGATTTCGTCATTATACAGTATGTGGAAGAGGCTGCGTTTGTGCTCCGTTTGCATGACAGAGCGCACGGACAAAGATCACACAGGTACATATCAACTAGTCTAAGGTAAGGTAAGAACATATGTCAGTACTGTATGTAAAAACGGTGGCCTATTCCTTTAAGTGGAAAAAGTTGTCAACCCCTGGCTTACATTGGGATGCATTATCAGTCATGCAGCACTATGAAAGTCACAAATCCTATTTCAAAACAGTTTGTCTAGTGTCTTCCATCCTCCTCACAACATCCTATAGTCTCAGAAGAACCTCAGCCCCACATTCACAGTCCTCACTCTGATCTGCGCTGTACCTGTTGTGTTTGGAACCAGCTGAAACATGCCAGCAGTGTCCCTAACGCGAGATTAGCACAGTTTGAACATGATCCCAGGAGGGCTGCTGCACTCGCAATATGCAAACACGCTCAAAGACGACCAATTATACTGCAGCAAAGTCCCAGTGACTAAACAAAGAGATGCGCTGTGGAGCAGGAGAGTGTCATGTTGGGAGAGATGCAAAGTGGAAATAACTCAACAGTTGCAGTTTAAACTTGTGTTCCTATGTGGCTATATTCTTTTGGCTCCATTGTGTGTTCTTGATTTTAGATTATACAAAAAGTAATTATACATGATGGAACCTTACACTTGAGACAATAGAAGTAACTATGGCAGTGCTTCCCAAAATACCACTGAATAAACCCGAGACTCATGAGTTCCACAAAATCTACACCTTTAAAGTACCACCACATCTGAACTACTTCTAAAACCTATTTGGGTCTAAATTAGGGTTAACTTGAGCTTTGGATGGGATTAAAATCAGATCACCCCAAAGATATCAAACCAATACAATTCAGGAATTAATTGAACGCTAGACAATGCCACATTAAGACACTCAGGGAAATGTGGTACAAAAATGTATAGTGAAACAAGTATCAAGGTTAAACAATTCTACTGGCCTGCCCTATCCCTCTGCTACTGCCAGAGGGAGGTCTGGTTTTAATTTTTTCCAAATTTGAAAATTACCAGCTTCAAGCACGGCCATGACATCTTAGATAATCTAATTTCACTTGAGAAATTATCAAAAGTAATTTATGGCAAATACTTTCATCTTAAAAGGCAGAAAACTGAAGAAGAACACAGCAGCTTTTAGAGAGAAGGGGGGCAGAAGTTTCACAAATTAGTGTGGCTGGATCTCAAAACAACTCCAAGTCTGATTTTGATGATCCATGTTACAATGGGATTAAGGGGAAGGAGGTGGATGGATGGATGGATGGACAATGGATCATCAAAATCGTTTACCCTCGTTTACCCTTGTCTCACCATATATTTTCTACTAGCATGGATAAAACTCAAACAAAATGAGCGTGGGTCAATTGAACAAACATTACAAACCCGTAATGATCAAAATAATTGGGTTAGACAACAGTTTAATATTCCACAGATTATCTGTTGTGTGTTTACACAGCCACACAGAGCAATCAAAAATGGGTTTTCTTCATTGTGGGAGTTTTTACACACATTAAGCAGATTTTGCACGGCCATTAATAGTGATTAATGGTGTAATGTTTTTAATGCTGTTTGCGGGGCTAAAGCCGGCGGTGGTGAGGAGGTAAGCGGGAAACTAGGCCATAGAACAAAAGCCGAGGATATAAAAACCAGTTGTTAAAGACCATGTCATGTGCATTAGGGAAGATTGTGGGAGCGGGGACGGGACAAAGTGGTGGGTGCATACAGGCTTCATGTGCTGCTCGGAAATGGTGTGATTAAGAGGATATTATTAGGAAATAGAGTAGCAAAAACAAAGCAGAAATAGAGCACAATATGGCTGAGAAACATGTGAATGTAACAGAGCAAAACGTACAATATCTGTGGGTTAAGTCCTTGAAGCAGCCAAGTGAAAACAGGTCCTCTTCCTTTGTCTGCCATAGATAAGCTTTGAACTCCACTCCTGGGATCTCAGGCAATGTCCACGAGCTACTGACTGAAGGACTTTACACAAACACACACACACAGAAACACACACACGCACACTCACTACTTTTGCTTATGATATAACATTTGTATTGTATGTTTTAATGGAATGCATTTACCAAAGTTACAGAATCTTGAATACCTGCCTTATTGTGTATAATATTCTGTCCCGTGATCCAATCAGAGCACTGCCTTTCAAGTTCAAGTGTATAATAACATAAGAAGGTCTTTGTTTTTGCAGTTTATTATGCATTTCACTGAGCACTACTAAGCAACATTTTCATTGTTTTTTTGATAACCGTCGTCTCAACCAAATATCAAATAAGTATACTGCATCCTGAATACTAGGAAACGTCATGTATTATGAAGCCAGACTCAATAATTAGTATTATGATAAAGGTATTCATGTCGAATCTAGGCAAAATTCTGCCTAGATACGACATGAACAAAGATACACAGACAGACAAACAGAGACACACACAATTAATGACCCTCGTATGAGAAATCCAGCAGGCAGAAACACATCCATTCATACAAACAGAACAAACAAATGCATAATTCTAAAACTTACTAGCTCCGATGTCATGCATTTCTATCGTAAATCCTTTCCAAGTGTCGTTGCAACTGTCCTGTCCGCTGCAGCCAAATCATAACAGTACGCGTAAAATGGTTAAAAGCAATTAAACCTATCTCCCATCCTCTACGAAAGCCTACGTTTTAGCAGATTATGATCTATTATATGAACGCGTGTCAGCTGATTTGAAGGTCAGTGCATCTGGGCCTGTTTTCTTTTTTCTCCAGCCTATACAGCATTGTGCTCGTTCCTGCCGTCTATACACAACAACGGATGAAAGCCTGTTTATTTTAGGATTTGGCCCATCCGGTGATCTTATTGGAACTGATCCTCGTGAGTTTGCTGCATGCAGAGGAAAAAAGAGCTCATGAATAATGTAGATGCGCGATAAAAATGAAGTGCATGTTTACCGCTGGCTTGTTTCATATGCTAATGCAAACATGCGCCTTTCACCTGGGGATTAGGTGGAATCTGAGAGCGGCTTTTGACTCCACTCACTCCGCTCACCTACACGACTCACAAGAAAACACTTTTTGTAATAAAGCGTTTTTTTCCACCTATTCCTGGTAACGCGTTCAGAAAAACTGCGTCGATTG